ACTTTATAACTATTTCATGTGTCCACAGAATATATGAAAGCATACGCGGGTGGTAGGCTAGTATGGTCTTTTAAGGTATAACTAGGTTCTGTACTTTACAAGAAGCTTGATCGCTGTTGGCCAGTACTAACCGAAAGAGAGATAGCCTATTCTGCTCGGTGTAAAAGTTGGGGCGTATTTACATTGGAAAGACTTCCAGAACTCTAAAGGTTCGAAATGTTGAAAACAGACGAGTTAGTGCGAACTGTCCTCCAGAACGCTCCGGTTTTTTGGCCAATGTCTTGGTGCATAATCACGATCTGTTAGAAGGAAGCGTTTCAGCTGTTGACCACAACTCCGATGGAGGTCAGATGGTCCTCAGAGAATCGCTGCACATTTCAGCTAATCTGAACAAGCTGTGCGATAGTTGTGCGGCTTCTTTCGACATCGTTAAAAGATGGTGCTTACTGTTTCCTCTTATTGAAGGTAAACGAATCTCCTTACGTACTGTAACATTCGTTGCTAGATTTCTGTCCCGAAGAAGGCTGCTGTTTAAAGGCCGAAACGTTCACAATTTTTTTAAATAAAGGTTTCGTTATATCAGCCGTTGTCTTGCGCCGAAACCGCTGAATCGGAAACGTGAAAGATTTACGAATTCGTGGCACAGAATCAAAATGAACTATAAATTTTGAATGGATATTTCCACAAGTTATTTGCTAAAAAACAACCATATTCAAGGTCTCCGTTCACGATTATCTTTCAAGTGAGAGAATTCGGCGTTGGACAGTTCTCTGATCTACTCACAGCTGCCTGGGAGAGACGGACTGACCATGTGACTGGCCTGATGGACAGCAGGTAAACATTCAGAGTTATCAAATTGATCCACCTCAACGACAAATGTTCACTCAGTTGTCCATCAATACGCTGAAAGGATCAAATGGAGAGGGTGTGTTTGGTGAACGCTGGAAACAAAGAGCGTAATACTTAGAACGAAAGTCGAAACGTCGACTTGTGCCTTTGCCGCAGCCGTTAATGAAAACAACGATAT